GGTCAAATTAGGTAAAGACTTTACGGTACAAGCGTTAGAACCGGGCTATGTACAATTTTATTCGGATCCAAAAAATCCAAAGAGGAGATATGTTGGGATTGTGTTTAATCCAGATGATAAATTGCCCAGAGCGCCGACTGACCCAAGATCACGTAGATTTGGTTTAATCGATTTGGCAGCTTATCGTGGGGAATTGAAGAAATCTCGTAAACTCGCCATGTCTCTTCGTCAGAATAATTCTTAACACGATGAAATACAAGAGAGAATAAATAATTATTTAGTAAAAAAAATTAACAAGAAAATTTGGATTATTTATTTATAATTCATGAAGGTTGTAAATAAGTAATTATTATAAATCGGTAAAATCGTTACTGAGCATTATAATAATAATAAAAAATTCATTTAAAGCAAGTTGTAATCATATTTAAAAGATTCCTTGCGAGCATTAAATATTTTTATTATGTCTAGTAAATTGTTTTTGACAGAAGAAGGAGGGATCATTGAGTTTATAATGTGGTCATGCCACACTGAATTTTTACCGCTAACACAAAATCACGGTTCTTGTGACATAATAATCACGTGACTTATTTGTAACATTGTCAACGCGGAATAAAGTGTAACCGCAAAGAGAACAAAGAATGAATTATTTATACTGTATATTTTTTTGTCTATAAAAAATATAAGTTTTATTGTATTAATCAAATACCCACTTAATCGTATGTGAAACGCACATAGAAAAAAAATTAACATGCAACCATGTAATGTAATCTTGTAACATCAATGATAAGATTTTTTAAAAAAAAAAAACGCGTAAAGAGATAACCGAAATCCCCCCTTTTTTTTAAGGAAAAAAAAAAATTTCTTTGTTCAAGGATGTTCACAACGTAAACATTCACATCTTTACACACACGCGGCATCATTTAGAATTTCGTAAAGTACCGTATGATTTTTGCATTCAAACGCAAAGGTACGACTTCATTTTTGCATGTGTTGATGATGATGATAATAATAGTAATGGATAAATAATATATGTATGTATTTTATCTTTTTAGGGAGAATCACGTTTCACTTGGTAAGATAAATACGCCAAAGATAAGTCCAAGACGTACATTCATTTTATTTTATTTTACTTTATTTTATCTTGTTCTCCAAGATTAGAAATATCCAAAAGGATATTCTGTAGGGAAAAGTTTAATCGTTTTATTGATGCAAGCCGACATAAAAAAGGTCTTTTTTTTTGTTTTTATTTATAGAAAACATGTAAACATAAATCATATTCGCGTTCGAATCATTTGAAAGGAGTTCGATGTATACAAGGATTTGTAAAACATCTAAGATCATGAAAATAAAATTTTTATTCCGAATTACCAAAGGTTGATTAATTTATTCCGTGATTATGCAATGAGAATTTCTTTTTATCTATCCATATTAAAAAAAAAGCAAAATAAAAAATCAATTATAGAACGCGATTTAAAATATATATTTTTTTCTTTCTTTTTTATTTTGCCCGATGCGGTAAAAGACTAAAGATCTAGGAGAAAGGAAAAAAAACCTCTCAATTTAACAGAAAAAAAATTTTTTTTTTTCAAGGCTTGTACTTTTGAATCCTTGATTTAGAATAATAAAAAGAAGAAAACTAAAGAAACAACTTAAAATCTCGATTTGTTCACCTAATTTGCGGATCATTTCATTATCCCATTGACTAATTTAAACCTTAAGTGATCATCATGACTAATCACTTTAAACAAGGGTTTCAAATTTTCGTCATGTCTTAATTAAGGTTAATGAATGATATAGCAGATAGGCTAAAAAAAAAATATGAAACCTTACACATGGCCATTAGTTTCGCCAAATGTATAAATTCGGCCGCTGCGGTACTAAATTTAGCAATAGAACGTCAAAATAATACCCAGGGGTGATCGCTTCTGTGCTGCTAATTAAAGTTTACAAAATGAATAATGGGCGAACTAGACCTGCGCAAAGCCACCAGACAATGATTCATAATTTATACTTGAAAAGAATATAATGGGAAAAAAAATTTTTAAGTTTGAAACTTTGTCCAACATGATATTCCTAATTATAGAAATTAATAATTGAGAAAAAGTAATGACTCCGTAACTTCCGGTAAATCTTTTTTTTTTTTTTAATTTGATTTTATTTTATTTTAAATATTTTTTTTTGCCGTAGTCTTGACTAGATTAAAAATCGCGTGATACCTTTTATTCTGTGATCGGAGAAAGGTCAATTTATGGTAAACAAGTGGTAATTATTATTTTTTAAGCGAAACGTGGCTGCGCATATTTTAGATGGACCCACTTGACCACTTGACCACTTGGCATTCAGCAAAAAAAAAATTTTAAAAAAAAAAATAAATAAATAAATAAACGTGAGGTAAATTAATTCGGTAGACAAGGAATTTTTTTTTTGAATTTCTATATCAAGTCAGTGATTATAAAGTTTGATGTAGATTAACGAATTATAAGTTGCAAACGATTAAAAATAGATTATGAATAAGGATTTTTAAGGAATAATTCGTTCGCGACCTTTAATCCGTCACATCCTTTGATCATTCCCACGAAAGAATTAAACTATGCAAGCCACATATTCACATATTAGGCAGGAAGACATCTGCTATCCGAACACCTCCCTAATAAACAATCGTTGGTTGTGACAAAGAAAATTATTTTATTATTTATCATAATTATTATTAATTAAAAATAGAATTTTTAATAAAGAATTAGTTATATCATTAAAAAACAAGGATTAATGCCGTATGCAAAAAACTTTTTTTTCGAACAGCGAGAACTAATTAAAATTGAACTAGTGCATCATGTAAATCTCCTGAACATGGTTCGAATTCCTGCGGCCAATTTTCATTTCATCCAATCAAATTGCGGCCGGACATTTACGAGCCAAGGATGACATGATCAAAACGGCATTACGAAGCCCAGATTTGCGTGATTGGGTTGTCATAATAACATAATGATTAGAGTTCACCTATCAGAATTGTTTGCATTTAAAACAAAAGAAAAAAGAAAAAAACTGACAAAGGCCTTGAGGATATTTATTTTTGACATCTCAAAGAAGATGAAAAAAAGTTTTTGGTTCGTGTAAAAGCAAAGACAAAGGTCAAAAGGAATATTCCGAGAACACGTGCTTCTTCAATTATTTCAAAATCAAATAAAACAAATGTGAACCTTTAACCGTGAGGTGAGAGGTTGAAGAATAATATTCGAATCGTGAATGATTTAAAAATAGCACGAAAATGCACGACGGAATAAACAAAAAAGGTGCACACGTTTAACCCATTTCAAAAACCAATTATTGCTCGGGTAATTAAGCCATTTGATTTGCTTTTTTAAACCAATTAATTGATAATGGTCTCGTAAGAAAAAAAATAATAATTAAATGTGTCCTAAAAAAGGCTACTCCGTTGATATTCATCAAATGGGATGATTATTATTATTATGATTATTTTTTGAAGACACATCGTATCTGTCTTCCTTGAAAGGAACTTATTCAGATATCACGAGGTTTCCGAATCGTTGGACTGACTAATTTTACATTATTAAAGATGTATGAGACAAAAATGGTAATGAAAAGTGACACATTCTTGATGAAGCTTCATCCCCTGTTTAATTTGTTTATTCGGAAAATTTATTGTGCAAAAAAGATCTTCGTAATACTTATTCAGGGATAATATTTTAGGTAATTGTTCAAAAGTGGCTAATTGATTCCTAATTTAAAAACTTTGGATTTGTTTGTTACGCATGATTAATTAGCCAATTTGGTAATAAATTGAATCCTTGGTGATTATGTCAGAATAGCATAATCAAGTTAGGATATGATTGATTTCTAATTCTAGAGAATAATTTGAAATAATTGATTATAAACGGGAAACAGTCCTCCAAAAAAAATAACGTTAACGTAATTTTTTTTTTTTCTGCATTTCAAGAATTCGAATCATTTAAACTTACTTGATGATTTTTAAACGAATAGAATCTTTTTACAACGATGATAAGCATTTGTTAATAATGGCACAATATAAAAACGTCATAAGTTACCGTAAAGGAAATTCCTCTAAAGGATATGGAAATAATGTAATTATATCATTTTTGAAGGAAAAGAAGGGGGTTGAGCTTACCAATGATAATTTAAATTTTAAATGACGTAATCCAAAAAAATTTTCCCCACAAAGAAGTCTTACAAGATGCAAAACAAAAATACAAATAAAAATTTTTAAAGCGTACATGCATGATCCATTATATTAAATTACAAAGGTATAAAATGACTGATTGGTAAATGGTTTTTGATTTTAAAAAAAAAAATAATATATTTTTTGTTTATGTTTTTCTTCCCCTTCCAGTAATTATCTTTCTTTAAAAAGAACTTAAACAACGTACCCGAACCTTGTCAAAATATTTTTAACGGTTTTTTGTAATTTCCCTTGATAATAAAAGGGGGACGCGGTGTAAACTGTGTGATAAAACATAAATTTATTTATCGTCTGACGAAGAAATAAGAAATGGTGCATGATTGATTTTTACAGGTATCACAACAAGCATCAAAAAAAAAGTTAAATTTTGCGTAAAACATCTCTTTAAAAAATGGCATAACCATATACCCTTGCTTGCGTAACATTCCAAATTAATCCAATTCAGATATCTGTTTTCCAAATTTGACAATGCTAAATATGGTATTTGCAAAAAAATGATCAGAGGGGCCAATAAAATGTCCGATAAAGATAAGAATTTATTTTTTAATTTATTTGATACGATTCCCATTATTTTCTATTCTTTGTTTTCCAAAAAAGTCAAATAAGTAAAAAATCATGAAAAAAAAATTTTGTTTTTGATAATGGAATTATTGAAGATGGTTAAACTAAACTAAAAAAAAAAAAAAATGCTTTGCTTCTTAAATTATCACTCAAAAAAAAAAAAACATATATATCCAATCTTTCCGTCAGAAAATACCTTTTCTCGCAGGAACAAACCGTAGTTCAGCAGATTTTTTTTGGTTCCATCCACTATATCCCTTCAACTTTAGTCCGTCTCATCTCACGTTAACTTTCGTTTCACTCTTCATCGAATAACCTAATTCTTTACGTATTTATTCTTCACCCTCAGTGATCAATAAGTCCTTTGTCCTTCTTGTGCATGTGTAATCAAATTAGATTGCCGGTCTACTTTCTTTATAACCACTACGTATTATTCTTTGTCCAATAAACAAAAAAAATTTCTTTTC